TATATATATATATATATATATATTTATATAAATATAAATATATTTTAAATATATCTGTAATTTATTTGTTACATAGATTTTATTCAGTAATCCCACAATGCTTCTATGTACGTTGCTGGGTCTTCAACTTCTGCTTGTTGGTACACAATTATTTATTTTAATACGCACAACAGAATGGTACCAAGTACTATCTATGACGTTATTACTTGTAATCAATTATTATACATTATTTAAAGTAACAAGAGATTATCTTGTTTGCTGGAAGGTATATCGTGCTGAACAAATCATACAAGGAAAGTGTCAGATGGTAATTAATTCCAACACTCAATAAACGAATGAGAAAATTAATGTTTGAAATTTTATTAACATTTACAAAATTAAGAAACTTTAGTGAGTTTGTAAAATAGTCATTACATCGGGGTTTCTATTACATCACGATTTATGAAATAAAATATTGTAGTACTTGAAATTTGAAATGGGGAAACTTTGAAGAAATGAGTTAAGTGTCTCTTGAGACAAGATATATATTAGATTGTTTATCAACAATTGCTCTGATAGACCTTTTTTTTATTTTTAATTCACTAATCACTCAATCACTTGTTTGCAGTATACTTAATGCATCGTTGATATTATGTACTATATATATATTTGGAAAAACCATGAAAATCCCACTTTTTATAGGTTGTTTGTATCTTTACCTAGTTTTTCATAATATTTGATAAGATTGTGCCTTTTATTACAAATACAAATGATATAAGAAATATAAATAAATATATTTTTATTTGTTTATTATAGGAAGTATTTTAACAGGTGCACTATTACAGTTTGGTTGGAAAGATTAATGTTACAGATAATGTTTTTCTTGCAGAAGATTTAAGTTATATAATATATGTATATATAAAAATATTATAATAATTATATAAATATATAATATAATTATATATAATAAATTATATATATTATATAAATATCACATATATGTGTCGAATATTATAACAATGAACTAATTGTAAAATTGTCCAAATTGATTTCATAATTCATTATATAATATTAATAATTATAACATATAAAATAAATCATAAAATTAATATTTTTAATTTTGGAATTTTATTGTGGACTTCAACTTTGGACTTTATTGGCATAATTATCGGCACATATATGTGATATATTGGTCTTTTTTGATAAGATTTTAAATTAGACTACAAAAAGAGGTCAATAGGTATAAGAAAATAAAATTTATTTTTATTTAAGCTTCCATTGGAAATTAATGTATTTCCATTTTATTAATAAATAATGAACACTTTATTTTTATTAATAAATAATAATTATTTATTATTAGTAATGGTTATATTATTTATCACAGATTGATAGTTTTATTCATTTTATGAATAATAAATAATTTGTATTTTGATTATTTTTAGGTATTTAAATATATTAATTATTATAGATAATTCATTAAAAATTTTACAAATTGACCTATTTAAAACTAATCAACGTGTTAATAAGATAAGAATACAAATATTTTTATTTATAATCTGTAGTGTTAATGTTATTTAATGTCTTTTTGGTAATCTTTTTATTGAGCAATACCTTAAAGATATCATAAACCTATTTGATATAAAAGAAGGTTATGATTATAGATTTTACGAACTGTTTTATTTTGTTTTATCTGAACAAATTGTTAGATATCTCAAATTCCAATAGTGTATTTGTAAATAAGTAAATGATAATCATATTTGTCACTGTAGTTGACCAAAATTTTGATCTTGTACGAAGCATCAATAAGATAACAAAAGAAATCGTAGTTTTGAGTAATGTTTATACACATGCAATGTTTCTTTAACTTAACGTTTATTTATTTCATTGTTTCATTAGGGAGATTAAATACAAATAATAATAAATTTTGAATTGTGTATTGTGAAGATAAAAATTAATTTGAAAAAAGTGGATTTGATTTCTTATGAAAGACATAAGTCGTCATTTATTTATTGATAACAAAAAGATAGTTTAACATATTGTTCGGGTTTTTACTGCGTTTATACGGCGTTTTGTTTAATCCAATCGACGAATGAGTAGACTCTTGTGAATACATCTGGGTATCCTACGGCACATGGGTGTCCATAAGATACAATACCAACTTGGACACCATTGGAAACAAGTGGACCACCGGAATCACCCTGTTTACAGATAAAAACAATTCATTAATTTTTTTTCATTATTTCAAATAAATAATAATTGCATTTAATATAATTATAAAATAACTTACATGGCAAGCACCTTCACCATACTTGGTAAACGTACAGATGTGACTGTCAAGTACTCCTCTGTGTGTTGCTTGACAGCTTTGTTGGCTTTCAACGGCCAATTGAAGTTGTTGAAGGTGATTTGGAATAGGTCCATTCAACTATAACAAAAAAGAAAATCATTTAAATATCATATTTTTTTTTATAAAATAATTGATTGTCTTTATTGAATGATCACTCACGTAAATTCTTCCCCAACCGGTCAAAACAACATTGTCTCCAGCTTTAATTGCGTTATTGGATGGCAATTTAATTGGTTGAACTAATTCTGAGAATTGAATATCTTCCGAGACATGGACGAGACCAATATCATTGGTCAGTTTGTAAGGATTGTAATTCTTATTGACAATCAATTTGTCTGCTTGATAAGATTGTCCACCTTGTTTCAATAAAACGCTACCAACATGGACAGTAACTCGTGATGGCGATTTTCTGTAAAAGAATACCAAAAAAACAAACAATATTGCAAAAGTTATAAATTTATTAGTTTTATATTTATTGAAACGTTAGATAATTTGAAACAAATGACACTTACGAGACAAGACAATGAGCAGCAGTTAGGACATAACGTGAACTGATGATTGAACCACCACAGAAATGACTGGGTGATCTCAATGATACTTGGTATGGGTATTTTCCTTCTGGTGCATCAGTACCGCCGACGACACGACCAGCTGGGTTGCCTGATCAACAAAATAAAATGGTATATTTAAATTACATTATTATGAAAATAATTAATGAAAAAAAAAAAAAAAATAGAAATTTTCTTGTTTATATTTAAAGTATTTAATGTAAGTTGTTTTATACATGTAAGTAAAAAAATGTTATAATTATGTAGATTGTGATATATGTGCCCATAATTATGAAAATGGTCTAACATAAGTCAAAATTATCAGTTATTTCACAGCACATTATTTTAATATAAATAAATTCAATGTAATTTTTTCACGATATTGTCAAAAATGAATCGTTAGATAATGTTTGTTATTTCAATATTATATAGAATTCATATAGTGTTCAAATATAAATCTTTAAATATTTCGAAACAAGAGATACATGATTTAGAACACTTTCGTAATTATGGGCACATATTTGATTGTTTTTTACTCACCATAAGCGGCAACTGCCAGAAGAACAACTAACAAGGTAGTGAAGACCTGCATGGTGATATGATTATTGATGATTGTCAGCATTACCTCAATATATATACACGTTTTTCAACTAGTCATTGTGGCGGGATATTAATCTAATTAATCCACCTTGAAATCAGTTCAGATTTCTCAAGATTAATTATATCTATTGAAGTGTACGACAATGAGTACAATGACGTTGAAGTTGGAAAGTACGGAAGTTATCCTACACTTGAGGGATTCCAGAAAATGATAAAAATAATGAAAATATATCTAAATTGATCATCACGTCAAGTACTTACGCATCGTATTGATCATTTTTTTTCTTATCAACTTATTAAAGATTTAACGCAATAATGATATCAATCAAGTGTTCATGATTTACTTTCATGTGTAAGGGGATTTATAAATTGATTAATTGAAACAAATGTTGTAATTATTTTATTTTATATTACTGTGAAATCATGTAAAACGAAATGAAACAAAAAAAGAAAGAACAATGTCTTTATTATTATTATTATAATTATAATACAATTATCTACGTTTTCTGTTCATTTTTTTATTGTGCAATTTCAATTCAGAAATATTCCTTTTCTTGTATCTTTTAATATTGTATAAAAAAATAACCATAAAAAAATTAGAAAACTAAAAATTAATAATAATTTTAGGTGATGCAATCTTTACATTAATTTGCGTCTGAAAATTTATATGTTGACATTTTGATTAGATTTATTATTTTTCTTTTTTTTCTTAGACACGATACTAAGTACGTTTACACACGTTTGGATTTTTGTCATTCCTATCGGTACTCATCTTTAACGAAGATAGATTTATACATTACGTGAAAAAAATTATGATATTGACTTATTAAATATATATATATCGATTCACTTTAAATTAGTAAGATAAAATTAATTAAAATTATCGCTGATATCATTTATTATATCTTTTCATTGAATGTGGGTGATTTTTTAATAATAGAATTATCACTTAAAGTTACTAGAATTATGATTACAAACAATTTTATGTTATAAGAATATTTAATTTTTTTAATCGTTATTTGTTCTACATTTTTTTAAACATTGTTTGTTATCAATACAATCATTTCCGTTTTAAAATAAAAATTTGTGTTGTTTTCTTTATAATTTAATCATAAAAAAAAAGTTACGAACAGTTTAATTTTATTTAACATTATTAAAAAACATTAATAATAATAACTAGAAATTAATGCAAATATATTTGCAATTAATATTTTGTTTTATTCAATTTTTTTTTGTTTCTTTGTTATCATTAAATTTGTATCTATAGATTATAGAGTTTTCATATCAAAATAAACCCAAAGGTTGTAAGACAGATAAAATGACTTATTTTTTGTTTTGAAATAGATAAGATATAATTTTTCTTCGTGTGATTGCAATAATTTAGTTTTATAAATAGGAAATAATTGCGTTTACGTGGGATCAGTTGATTGTAAGCCATCAAACTTTATAAATTTCTTTGAAATTTATTAAAATGGATACTTAAAAGAGATCCACCTTTGATAAATTAGGTTCCTACTTATCAGAACAACACAAAGTTTCATTTTTTTTTAAAGTAATTTTATCCTCCTTTTTGTTTACAACCTTTGAAATTATTAATTAATAGAAATTAATGTTATAAAAAAAAAGATTATGCAAATAAATTTATCTTATGCATTAAAATATTTTTTGTATTTTATTTTACGTATTTGATTAAATCAAATTTAATTAAATGAATAATTAAATTCGTTTATTTATTACAATTGATATTATTTATAAAATAAAATATAATTTTTAATCAATAGTTTATTTCAATTACGTTGATTTCCAATAAAGGAAATGTAAATTATTCTTCGTTTAGTTGATCACTAGATGGCATAATGTGTTACACATTTTTTCCTTTTGTTATTTAAATTATAAAAAAAAAGAAAAAAAAAAGATTAAAAAAATGTATCGTTATACTAATAACAAGTTTTCATCCTCATATTCTTTCGTTTGAGTTAATTTAAACAATGGCTCGAAGAAAAAAGTTAGTCCATGTTTTTTTCGTTTACAAGAGAGCTTTTTCCTACCAAAGCTTTTTTTATTTTCATTTCTTTCTACCATTTCCACCCAGTCCAAGCATCTCTTCTCGTTCAGATGTAACACATTCAAAAAAAAAAAAAAAAAAAATAGGAAAAACTATGTAACGAATAGAACAAGCTGAGAAGAGGACTATGTTTGCAAATCGTTAAGTCGATGGTAGAAAAAAAATTGGTGCTTGAATTTAAGACAAAGAAAAATATATTCAAGACTTTTTTTTTTCTTACGTTTCTCATACGAGTGAAATGTAAATAGTGGAATAAGCGTGTATGTTATAAAACATCATTTTGTTTATTGATTTAAACATTGTTATATGTCTAGTGTATTAAAATAAGAATATTAAAAAATATTAATTTCAAATAGGATTAATTTGTTATGATTATAATATGAAATATATTATATGTATTTATAAAATAATATATTTTTTGATATATATTGTATATTGGTAATTTTTACCAAACGCATATATTCGTCCATAGCACTCTAAGGGTTAATTAATATATAATTAAAAAATTATTTAATCATTTAATATTAATTTATAAAATTTATAAAATTTATTAAAATTTTAATTAATTACTTAATTGAATTAAAAAAAATTATCAATTAGCTTAAATTAAAATATTAATTTATAGAATTTATTAAATTTATTCAAAATTAAATATTAAATTAAATTTAAAATATAATTATATAAATAATTATTTAATTATATAATAATTAATACAATTTTATTATAATCTTAATATATATAAATTACGTGTCACGTTGTTTGTCCGCAATAGACTCCTAAACTACTGAACTAATTTTAATACAATTTTGCACACTGTATGCAGTTTCATTCAACTTGAAAGATAGGATAGTTTATATCTCAATTTATAATCGCAATAGTATTTTATTGCGAATTATTTGTTTATTAACAAGGAGTCATGATTATCTCTGTTAGTTCGATAAGATTCTAACAGATGGCGGTATAAGGTAATTCGTTGACTGGAATACTCACACGCTATCGATTGGTCGAATTGTGATAAATGTACATGTAATGACGTTAGATATTGTAATAATTTTTTAATAAAAATTTTCATTAAAACGGTCCAGATTGTTACAGCTTATTCCAAAAAGTTTGAAATTTTCGAATTAAAGACGTGTGTATCGGACTGATTGTGAGCCACAGTAACGCATGGCGGGGCACCCCTAGTTATATTATAATTTATATATTACATAATATAATTTATATAATATAATATATATATAT